ACTTCTCTGACTTAGGATTCTAAACATGCTTCAAAAATGTAAAAAATTTTGATGGATTGACATCATACAGGAAAGCACTACCAGGTAAAACCTCATAATGAGGGTAAAAAGCAAAATGATTGGCTCACCTCCAAATGATGCAGCAACAGCAACAGAACCAGCAACAGTTCCTGCAGCACTTGCAGCAGCAGCAAACCCACCTGCTCCAATCACAGGGACAAGAGTGCCCAATGTTGGAGCCAGAGCACTAAATCCTGCAGCAATTGCTGGAGCAGCTAATCCTGTTCAATATTAAACATGTCAACTGAAAAGTGCTCATCAATTGTTAATTTAAGATTTTTTCAAACAATAAAAAGACATTCTGTTGAATCTTATACCACCAGTGATGGCCATTAAAGTTCCTCCAGTTAATGCAGCAGCACCAATGATGCCACCACGCTTCCATTTCTCCCAACTGTTTTTTGGAGAACTTGTTTCTTCTTCCTTTGTTTCTTTTTCTTTTGCTAAAGCCATTGCAGAGCATGCAACTATTGTCTCGATGGCTTCCTAAAATGCAAAGGTTAATTTTTTTTATCATGAAAGGATCATGACTTAAAAAGGTGTTGTTAACCTGGGGAAGTTCAGCATATTTTCCCCATTGAACATAAATGTAGAAAAAGGAAAAACAATAATAGGGCCTGCAATACCAGTTTCAACACATGAAGATGCACGTTTCAGAGTAACAATTATGATTTTTGAAGCCAAATCATGATTAAGAGTGCCAAAAACTTTTCAAATTCATACATATTGCAGATTAACATACGTAATCACATTTTCAACAAGATTACTAACAGAAAACTAAAGGCACTTCCTGAATGGATAAACACTTTGAGACAACTTATTTAGAGATGGCAGGTTAAGTATACAAACCATTTTTATCCACTCAACATCAAGCCAAGTTGCTAGTAACCTTAAAGCCACACGATGCCGAGCATCATAGCCCTTTCTTTTCTGGGTAATTTTTTGGTTGTTATCTTCATATTTATCCGCCAAACAAGCTGAAAGAAGCTCATAGAGAACATTCACTTTCTCTCGTAACTTAGGGTTGTTACATCCTCAACAGGTTCCTCATTAAACACATCCCCATGGACACGGAATTCATCAGGATCATGTGTATTACTTTCTACCTCCAGTAGACTTTCAGAGTGCCTATCCACCTCTTCAGTGTTTGATTGTACCTCGGCAACAGAATATTTCTCACGACATTCATGTTCATATGCACGGCGCTTTTCCTTCTTAGACTCAGAAGATACAGAACTTTCCATGCTTCTTGCCATGGCATCAACGGCTTTTGACAGCGCTAGCCCCTTCTCCGAATCTTCACTAGTTTCCTCTGATAGCAACCTCAAGAACTAAAAAAACACAACACTAGTCAATAAAATGGATGCTAAATTCCAAGTGGAATAATATAAGCATAAGTTGCTGTTTGCATATTAGAGACAGAGAGAGAGGGCGATGGTCGTACTGCTCCAATATGATTCTTAGCCGGAGATGATCCAGCTGTTTCCTCAAGTCCAGGCCATGCAGCTGAGTCAATCCCCAAAAACCTACAAACGTACTTCCATTGTGAATATTTCCCAACATTTCAAAATACTGAATTTTTTCTTTCTGCATTTCCTCAATAGACAAAAAAATTGCCTTGACAGCCCGAATAAATCGTCACATAGACCCAGCTCCACCACCAATAAGAATAAAGTCGAGATTCAAATATACCGAGGTAACTTATTTCTTTAATTTTTCATCTTGAGTTTGCAGAATCAACTAAAATTAACATTAAATTACAGCTCCCTCTTAGAAAAGAGCTCAAAACTCTGGCACACAATTTATAAAATAGACTTTACTGAGTTGATTAGCCTGCTTAACATCATGAGTCAGGCAAATGAATAATGTCTAATCGACTCAATTCTCCATAATAACAGATGAAGAGACATAATTTGGTATTTAAAAGCAAAAAAGTAGGGATCAAATGATAATAATCATTTCCAGAGAACAAAAAAACCTGAATACGGGTCGCAGGAGGCCCGACTTCTCGTGAACCCAAAGGCCGGGGTCCTCGGAGACCGAGTCGCTACCGCTGCTATTGCTGCTTCGACTACAGCTGCTGGTTCGTTCCCCGGAGGGTTCATCACCTTCGTCGGGAGGACAGCCCAATGGATGGGATTGATGGATCTGGGCCTGGTGCAAAGAGATAGCGAACAGTGCCCCGGCCGCGTACCTCTGCGTGGAGGACAAACACGACGTCGTTGTTTCCATGGACTGGGTTATCTTGTCGGAAGGAAAGAAAGAGAGAGAACCACAGAGAGGTCAATTTTCAAGGCATTTGCGGAAGTGCGCTCTTTGTTTTAAGAAATTCCATTCCATGATACGAATTTTAGGAGTATTTGCAATTTTTTTTTTTTTAATTTTTTCAATTTTTGAATCGTGATGAAGCGGTCGTTTTTCGTTTTGTATGGGGCTCCATTGAAATGAAAGGTCCTTGCTGGAAACTGACATGAAGATGATGAGCCGGGTAAAACGACAACGTCTTAGTGCGAACCGGAGGCAGCAAAGACGGGATCAACGGCCGGTCCACCTGGCTTGTTCCGAAATCTCCGTCCTGGGTGCGAGAACTTGAATCTGTCTTTCATCGGAACCTGAGCGCGACATACGTAAGAAACCTGATTGTGTTTTTTTTTAAATTTGCTTTCATTTAATACATAATAATAATAAATATACACATATACTTTTATTAGTTGTTAATTTGTTTTTTGAATGCAATAATAATAAAATTAAAAGTGAATGGAATATTAAGATTACTCAATTATAATAACATAATAGTATTTTAGTAAACTTACAAAATTAATATTTTTTGTACCCTATTTATTAGCAAATGATGTATTTGTTTCTATGAATAAAAATATTTTACATAGTTATATTTATATTATTTACATATTACTTTTAAATGTCAGTTGTTATTATGTTTGTTTTTGAATGTCATCTTTCATTTTTTAGATGCATTTTATGTATAAATTTATTATCATATATAATAAATAAAACTAAGTAAAATAATACATTAGTTGAGAAATTAAGAATTCTACAGAATTGATATAAACAATTTATGGATTTTAAAATTTTAGTCAATTAATAATAACACGTATCCCTAATCAAATTAATTATTTTTTAAGTAATTAATAAATTTGAATACTAATAATTGGCAGGAGATAACTTTTTGAGAAATTAATTCATAAATTTATTTTATTTGTAATTAGCAATATAATCTTTACGTAGATATATATTTATAAATATTATATAATAACAATAATAATATAATTTTAGTTGCTGTGGAATAAAATATTGCTTTTGACTAATTCTGTCAATTAGACACTCCCTGGGAAGTGCATGAAAACTCTTATCAAGTGATAACCCGTCAAAGATTTATTTTAAGAGGATACTCCATAATAATTATTAAGCCAAATCCTTCCTACCCTTTTTAAAAGGAGAAAAAAATCATTCCCAGCTTACGAAAAGAAAGAGCCAGTATGGAATGATGCCCTGCTATCAGGTAAAGAACACTTTGTAATGATGCAAAAGACAAGTGAAAGAGTTCAAAATAATACACTATGGAATCAAGTAACTTGTATTATGGGAGTTGAATGGCCGATGCTTTTGCAAAGTTAAATTAGAGCATCAACAATATAACAGTTCCTAGTAAAAATAATGAATATAGAGCCACCAATTCACACAACTGCACGTGTAAAATATAAAATCATGGGTGCCAATAACTACATGAAGCTCCCCTTTTGCAGTATCCGCTTTCATAAAATTTACAAACTCGCTGCCCTTTGGGCGGAGGCTTACTAACAGATCCCGTTCCGTGAGCACCATAAGATGACTGCCTATTATTCCACAAGGACCTGCCCTTACCAAAATTGGAGTCCCTGCCCAGAAAATCACGATCCCTTGAACCGGATGACCTATCACTACTGTACCTCAGCTGGCTTCCCCACGGAGCTGGATTTCCTGTTGCATTCCCCGAACTCATGCTTGCATTTTCCTGAGCCGTCGTCCCCTGACCAGTTTCCCAGCTCATATTTGTTGTTGCTTGAACTAGTGCTGCCCAGCTCAAGTTTGGATTACCTTGAACTGCACTCCAACTAACACCTGAAGGTTCTGATCCCACACTCCAAGCACTACTCACCGAGGGCGTCACTTCCCAACTTGTCACAGGCCGTGCTGGAGGTGGGATATCCGATCCTGCTTCACATTGGTTAATTGAAAGATCAATGGGCTTTTTATCTTCTTCGACTTCAGAATTTGTGATAGAAAGCCCACCGGAAACCTTTTGACGATCAAGAAAGTTGATGTGAGACAATACTAGTGGTTCATCCTTAACATTTGACTGAGATGGCATCTGAAAATCATTTGTGGAACTCAGGGCATCATTTTTCCCTAGATCGGGTGCTGGGCTTAGCCCCTCTACGGGACTAAAACAGTCATCATCAGAACCTTGTGTCAATTCCCGTAAAATTGAAGTAGGGGAAGGTAAGCCATTAAGAGATTCCATTGCTTCAACTTCAGCCAAAAGATCTGAAACAGACTCATCACAATCGTTGGCTTCTGTCATAATGGTTGGCCAATCAGATGCATTGGAGGTGGGGTGGGGTGGAGAAGAATGAGTCACTTGAGCACAACCCGAAGTTGGTGTAGCAACATGCTCGACAGCCACTTTAGGTGGTTTCAAAGAACCAGCCACAAGACTGGGGTCCCATTCCTCAACAGAAGGTTTGGCCGGAGTAGAGGAATATGTACTCCATTCTCCAGCTACTTCACGAATTTGTGTTCCACCACCCACAAGACTGGATGCAGTGCTCCAGCTAATACCAGAATCCTGAACCAAAACACTTGAAGAGACAGACTGTTTAACTTCAGCTGCCTGCGCTCCCAAATCTTCCAGCTTGACTTTGGTGTAGGACTGGGA